ATGACGATTGAGGATATTCTAGATGAGACAGGCGGCTTCGGCAGATTCCAGTTGCTCATTATCGTGTGCATCTGTTTAAATAGATTCACAATAGGATGGAGTATGTTACAGGTATGTTATAGGTTGTTTATGTGTTTATATAGGTTCACAACGGGGTGAAGTGTGACTGGTATGTTATACATGCTGTGAATCTGTTTGTATATACCGTGCCACCTCACCGCCCCCCCCCCCCCCCCCCCCCCCCCCCCCCCCCCCCCCCCCCCCCCCCCCCCCACCCACCCCCCCCCCCCCCCCCCCCCCCCCCCCCCCCCCCCCCACCCCCCCCAGGTGCACCCCCCCCCCCCCCCCCCCCCCTCACAAAAATAACTTTTTTTTAAATACTTCTAATAGTTAGTTAGTAAGTAAGCTAGTTAGTTAGTTAGTTGACAGATTATCCTCATTGCACGTCGAACCATTCAGTCCATAAGTGCTCGGATCCCCTCCTCAGTAAATCCCGCAGCGAGTGGCGGCTGACTACACCAGTTTTGTGTTTGGTTTTTTATTATTCTTCTTTGACTACCCAAAGTTTTAATAACTATGTCAAAAATCACCGGACTGGTACAAATGTTGATGAGAATGCCTTCTTTTATAATTTGAATACTGGACCTTGAATTTCTCCTCACAGTTCGTTTCTAGGCCTGTAGGCGGCGTTGTACCACTGCTGCACAACTTTTTATTCGTCTTGCGTCAAGATGGCGTTCACAGACGATGATACAATTGCAATAAAATTTCTTCGAAAAAAAAAGTATGATGCAAAACGAATTCTTAAGGAAATTTCATACAAAGGATTCAGTTCAGAGGAACTCTTATACCTGATATTGACAAAACCGCCAATATTAAGCGGTGGGAAAGCAGCTGCCGAAAACGCACTGAGCTAGAAAAAAGCAATGTGATCTCGTCAGTGACAAAGTGGCGGATTCAACTTTTTTTCTTCTTCTGCGTTCTACTTCAGTCATGCTAAACATTGAGTCCCGTCTGGGTCACAAATAGGATTGTGCGTTTAAGGTCGCCACCCCCGACCCCCCCCCCCCCATAGCTTCTCTTGCAATGTGGCTCCCTTGGGCCAGATCCACAGAGGTTGGGGCAGTGCTGCAGTATGTGCTCAGGGGTCTGTCTTTCTGCTTCACAATCACAGGCAGCAGATTCTGTTATGCCTATCCTGTTAAGGTGTGCTCAAAGACCACAGTGTCCTGTCCGAAGTAAAAAAAAATTGATGTTTGTTCTTTCCTGTTGAGTTTGTTTATGCTGTCATTCTCTGGTCTGTAATCTCCGTTCTGCCTTCTCCACTCCCGCTTGAAAGACTGCTTTAGCGCTGTTTTAGTTTCCTTGTAGCTGTGTGGTGGATGAGGTTGTGGAAGATTACTCCCAGCTTTTGCCAACTCATCTGCTCTCTCATTTCCTTGAATACCACAGTGGGCTTGTATCCATTGCAAGACCAGTTCTGCTTCCTTGGAGAGTAAGCCAATGTTGGTCCTTAGATCTGTAATTAGTTTGTCTTGTTTTTTGCTTGATAGTGCTTGGAGAACAGACAATGAGTCACTAAGTAAAACAATTTTGTGCCCTCTGTGTTCTTGGGTGATGAGATGTTGGACTGCAGAAAGGAGGGCAGTTGCCTCAGCTCTGAAGTTAGTGCAGATGTCACCTGCTGGTAGAGAGAGAGAGTTTCTGCTTTACTGCCAGGGGGTTTAATGCCCTTATCAGGGAAAACAAATGCAGCCACTCTACCAAGAATTCAAACCCAGTTCTTGTGAATGAGAGCCCACGTTCTAACCTTTCAGTTAGACGTTTCTCTTACGCTTTACACCAATGAAATGAACTCTTTCAGTTCCTACTAGTGCCGAGAAGGAGTTGGGCTTAAAAGCATTAGCAAGTTTGGTCTGAAGAACTTCTGTTGAGATATTGTGTGATAGAAGTAGACTTCTCTTCTTGCCTTCTATGTTCCTGCTTCCAGCGGAGCATAGGCCCTAGGCCAACTCACGCTGTCGTTCTATCCCTCGCTATTGTATGCAGCTCACCCGATGTCTTCCTCTTATTTTTTTGGTCTAACTTCACTCTCTAGGTCCTTTCTGCGTGTGTATTTGGTCTTTATTTCTAAGCCTCTGTGATTTCCAGTGGAAAATAAATTATAGTTATGTTGTTGTCAGATTTTTTCAGCGTTTGTCCCATCCAAAGCTAGCGTGTTTTCTTCACCTTTTGGTCCACTAGAACTTGTTTAGTTTTCTCCCAAAGCTTAACATTAGTGATTTTATCATACCGTTTAATTCCATGTATTCTGCGCAGGCCAGTTAATGAATATTTGTAGTTTATCAGTAACTGTTTTAGTTCTCCATGTTCCAACTTCATGTTTCAGCACTGATTTGACACCAGAATTAAAGATTTAAAGTTCAGTATTAGTTTTAATTTCTTTTGACTTCCACAAATTCCCTACGGTTATTAAAACTCCTCTTGGCTTTTGTATTCGTATTTTAACATCTCTATCAATTCACCCATCTTAATCTACATTACTGCTCAAATAGGTGTACGACTCTATATCTTGGAGTGGAATATCATTAAAAGAAACCACATTACTATTTGCTTTGTTTAGTCTAATTAGTTAAGCGAACTAGTTAGATATAAGAAGATAATATAACATAAACTAACAGTTCAGATATAAAGAGGTAGTATAACATAAACTAACAATTCAGATAAAAGGAGATAGTATAAAATAAACTAACAATTCCGATGTAAGGAGATAGAAAACTGCAAGAGACTGCATTATCGTTAGAATAACCAAGAGCGGCATAGTAGACTGTCTGATACTGAAAGAGTGGTACTTTTATTTAAGTTCACCCCAAACACAGGGAACCTCGGAATCGCCAGGGAAGTCCAGTATTCTTCTTCTTCGCTTTCGCTGGCTGTAAACTCTGGTGGAAAGTTCTACTTGTCCGTCCATTTCTGTTACACTAGTCCTGTTCCAGAAACTGAATTTTGCTTGCACATCAGTTTCACAGGTCATTTGCATGCAGACTGTAGGTTCCATATTTCCCAGGCAGATGCACTCCGACTTCGAATGAAACTCCCACTTAGTCAACTCTTACAACATGCTTTTGGGCAGGCAGTAGGTCTATTCTTGTTTCCCCCCACAATGAAGCACCGGAACACACCCGTAAGTCCAGTATTTTAGGGGTGTCAGGATTATGGTTAGGGTTATTCGGGGTTCATACCAACCGTAACACCCCTTTAATAATGACTTTTTCCTGGGACTCCTGGGTTCTCCGTGTTTGGGGTGAGCTAAAGAGACAGTACAGAGAGAGCTAAGGCTCAAACTAGAACAAGCGGAGGGTTTAGAAAACAACAACTAAAACAACAGGAATGAAAGTTACAGTTATATGGGTCTAAAAAAGCTGGTTGGCTGGGTAATCGGCAAGAAATGCTGAATATAACAAGAAAAATGATTAGAAAGCTCAACAGAAGGAATGAAAAAGACGAACACAACCGAACGTTTCGACCAAAGTCTTTATCAACAGAATACTAAATACAGCACAAACTATGAGTGGAAAAACTAAACGGACAAGACAATGGAGCTAATAAAAAATCAAGGTCAGCGTGAAACCAGGAATTACGTAATTGGGGTGGGGTGGGGGGATATGAATAAGAAGGGTAGCCAATTGTACCCCACCAGGACAACGCACAAGTGAAAAACACCCGGTGACACAAAGTGCCACCATGCGGATGAAGATCTCCCGTGGAGAGGTCCCGGAAACCCCGCTATGCCCTATTTCGGGCCGGGCTTTTTTTAGGGCCTCCGACAAAAGTCAGTATGGGGCTTCAAAATAGCTAAAAATTGCATCCCACAAGGGGATTACGAGAGTATGAAGGGCTACAATACGAAACAAAATAGATATGAAGGCGTATGTTAAAAGAGGTTGAGAAATATAAATAAGTTAAATACAATACTGAACAAGTAAATAAATAAAATAAAATAAAATAAAGCTGTGTTAAATATTGATCCCACCCGTACTAAGAACGCCAAAACTATGGATGAAACGATTGTCTCATGGGTAGCGGCTGGTTTGATCACCGGAGCAAGATTTAATAGCAGTGACTGAGATATCGTTTTCGTCTTGGTGGTCAGAACTGTTAAAATGGAGGGAAACAGACTTATGTCTTATTACGAATGTCAGAAAGATGATTACGGCAGTGATCTTCTAGCTTCCTATCGTTTTCCCCAATATATGCCTTTTTACATCTTTTGCAGATGATGGCATAAATTAGATTACGCGATTTGGCAGATATCTGCTAGACTAAGTTATAACGCATGAGTCAAATACGCTTAAGCTCAGCTGCTATGTACTCTGACATAGATGTTTGCATCTATGGGAATGCAAATTAGAAAGTGACAGAGCCGCATCACATGGCTACAAATGGTGGCTACGTTATAAAACTGTCCAGCGGAAACTGGAAAATTCTGGAACCAAGTCGCAGTGTTCAAGAAACCGCAGTGTCGTATTCTCTTGTTTGCCAACAGAAAGGACAATAGACGACTTACCATATAAGACATTGCATGAATTCAAGCGGAGAAGATAGCACACATTTTCATGATACATAAAAAAAAAAAAAAGCCAATGTAGGTCTGGTCTCACGCGGGCAAGGTGATTGTGGGTATCATGTTTGTTTGCCATTGTTGTGTTTGAAAAGTATGACATGTTCCCGAAGTCAGTTTATTTGAAACTGAACACCCTTTCCCTCCCCATCCAGCCACAATGTATAGCAGCTTACTTTCTACGTTTTTTTATTCGTATATTATTTTTAATGTATAATTACATTTATTTTCCATTCAGCACGAGAGCCGCAGTGGTGTAGCCTCTAGAAGCTTGCCTGCGGATACGAAGGTCACTGGTTCAAATCTGAACCGAACCGGATTTTTCGAAACATAACCTAGGCTTCAAAGTCGACCTAGCCTAAAATGGGTATCAGGCAAAGTCATGGGAAGTAAATGCGGCTGACGTGATGCTGAGCACATGACCTTTAAAGTGCTGATTGGTCTGCACAATAGTGGTTGGTTGCCATGGATATGTAATGTCGCTGGCACTATTACTAAGTGAAGCCCCAAAATACTTCGTGGTTGGAATCTCGTACAACTGTTTGTAAGGCCGAATAACGGTCGTGAAAAAGAAATTTAACAGCCCGCAATAGAAATTACAGCCTGACTTACCTTCTTAGCCACAGAACCCGCAAGAAAGTCGTTTGTAGGACCATAGACAAGATTGTGCATTCTTCTCCTTTTCTGTCTTTCTGTCCCCCAATGGAGCATAGGCCCTCAACGAACTCACGCCAAGTCGTTCTATCCTTCGCCATTACATAGAGCTCTCCCCATGTCCTCCCCATCTTTCTAACTTTATTCTCCAGCTCTCTTCTCCATGTGTTTTTTGGCCTTCCTTTATTCCTATGCCCCTGTGGGTTCCAGTGCAAAGACACTCTAGTTATGCCGTGCTCCTGTTTTCTCAGTATGTATCATATCCAAAGCCAGTGTCTTTTCCTCACCTCTTGGTCCACTGGAGCTTGCTTAGTTCTTTCCCAAAGTTCTACATTAGTTATTCTATCATACCATTTTATTCCCTCTATTCTGCGCAGGCACCAGTTAATGAATGTCTGTAATTTATTAGTAATTGCCTTAGTTGTTCATGTTTCCGCCCCATACAAAAGTACTGATTTAACATTAGAATTAGAAAAAAAATTAGTTTAGTATTTCTTTTAATTTCTTTTGACCTCCACAAATTCCCTAGTGCTATGAAAGCTCCTCTTGCCTTTTGTATTCTTTTTTTTTTTTTAAATATCTCTACCAGTTCCTCCATCTTTATCTACATTACTGCCATAATAGGTGCACGACTCTACGTCTTGGAGTGGGGTGCCATTAAGAGAAACAACATTACTATTTATCTACATTTATACTTCGTTACGTCCTTTTTAGGACGTAATTTTTTGTTTTTTGAAGCCCCACTCTGGCTTTTACCAGGGGCCGCAATATAGGCAGGCCATCAATATAGCCAATTGTCTGAACGCGGTTTCTGGGACCTCTCCACGGCGGTCCTCATCCGGATGGTGGCAATATGTGTCATCGGGTGTTTGTCGCTTGTGTGATGTCATAGTGGGGTGGAAAATCAGTCAGTCAGACCTAATTTATTCTCATTAATACAAGTAGAGACTGTGCATTACGGCTAGAAAATTATAACTGGCGCATAGACAGAAAAAGAAAGATTCACCATTACAGTTGATCAGCAACTGACACTTGGCGTTAATACGCGTGTTAGAGATAGAAGATATATGTAGTATCTCATTCACCAAAGCAAACAAATTAAACTGTTTTTTTTAAACAGCATTTCAAGATATGATATTTTTCGTCTGTTGTAGTTAAATTTATTCGTTCCCATCAGATTGTTACTTGGCCCACTCTGTCACAATATTTTTAACTTATCATAGGCGCCGTACCCTGGGGGTTCATGCAGCATGAGCACCCACCCGCCCCCCTCCATTTATAAGTGAAAGGGGGACTGAATTTCCCCAATAATTGTTTAGGAAGCAGCCCCCCCCCCCCCCCAATCATATAAAGACATCATCATCAGTTTCCACTTTTGCTGTTTAGCCTCTTGGTGAAGAACAGTGTTTCATTCTTTGATAGAAAGCAGTGGCCATTTCATTTTGTGTCGATCTAGAAGCTCTTTAATGTCATCAATCCATTCCCCTAGGGCAGCCTCTGGTTTATACTTCAGATCTTTTCCTCTGTAGCGCCTGCGTTGGTAGCTGTTCTGGTTGCATTCTTTCTTGATGACCAAACCATTAGATCTTCTGTTTCTCACTGCGTGTTCTGCATGGTGTTGTTCCCACAGCCTGTCTGATAATATAATTTCTAACTTTGTCTCGGATGGTGAAGTTGGCGGCTCTTCTCATTCATCTCATTTAACAGGTGTTAATTTTACGTAGATTAGAGTTTGAAAATGTTCAAGTCTGGGACAGTGTTGGTATAAATATGTTGTGTATAATCTGTTGCCTGTCTGCCATTTATGAAAACAAGTTTTTAATTACGAAGTCACAGAATTGATGCCGTTGTGAAACTTCCTATTCCAGACAAACACATGTAGGACTTTCTTCTTCTTCTTCGCGTTCGCCAGCTGTAAACTCCGGCGGAAAGTTTTGGTTGTTTATCCACCTCTGGACTGCAGTCCTGTTCCAGAACCTGAGTGTGGCGTGTGCATCCGTTTGACAGATCTGACTTATTTGTATACAGACTGCTGGTTTCTTACCTCTCAGACAGATGCACCCCGACTTCAAATGAAGCTCCCAATTAGTCGACTCTTACGACATGCTTGTGGATAGGCAATGGGTCTATTCTTGTTTTCCCTATAATAGGGCCCTGGAACCCACACGGGGTAACACTTGTAGGACTGACAAGCAGGCATCACCCCACTAAACTTTCATGCGCCGATGAATTTCTGTAGTTTTCACCCCTTTCAAATTATTAATCAACTGATAACAAAACGCTGCTCCTCTTTGGTGCACGTTAAAAGTTGGCGGCCATCTTTAATCTGTCAGAATCGGTCATAAATTAAATGTTCGTCTGCTTCGTGATGTCATGTGTTTAAAACACTTGTCATCCTTAACAGCAATATTGACAGTTTACGTGACATTTGTGATTGTAATTTCTATCCCATTATTAAAGTTCCCATTTGAATTTCCGTTCGTAAAAAAAGATACTGAAAGTTGCTAATTTCTCTCTTTCAACCCCACTCACACAAGATGTCATACGACGGTCTGGTGCCTCAATGGTTTTGCGTGAGTTCCAACACCTCTGGAGCAGAGGAACAGCTTGCCAGTTCTTGTTACATTAACGATAGCAGTACTTCTCCAAGCAGCGATGTCCAGCCCTGCAGCAGTTTCCAGTTTGACGAGTCGCCTCTGACAATAATCAACCAGGTACGTAAGTAAAAGTCAAACTGCCAGTTACTGCCTGTATTCAGGACCGAACTAAGACCCCTTGATGCACTTAGCACTTTGAAGATTTTGCCCCAAAACCCTCCCATCTTCCCAACCTTCCAGGCCCATTAACAGCAATATGGGCTCCTGGGCAAATTTGATGGGGCATTTACCACAACCACTCACAGCAGTGAAATGTAAATTGTCACTCTACATACACACGTTATATATATATATATATATATATATATATATATATATATATATATATATATATATATATATATATATATATATACATTTAATGGTTGCAGAAAGGGTAAGAGCTAAGCGTCTGAGAAGAAACAGATGCCCATTTGAATCCTAGATATTTCGGGTTGTCCCAACCTTCCAGGCCCATTAACAGCAATATGGGCTCCTGGGCAAATTTGATGGGGCATTTACCACAACCACTCACAGCAGTGAAATGTAAATTGTCACTCTACATACACACGTTATATATATATATATATATATATATATATATATATATATATATATATATATATATATATATATATATTTATATATATATACATTTAATGGTTGCAGAAAGGGTAAGAGCTAAGCGTCTGAGAAGAAACAGATGCCCATTTGAATCCTAGATATTTCGGGTTGTCAGAAAAGCGACTAACCTTTACGCTACCACGGCTCTAGTTGGTCATGTATCTTTGTGCACTTGCTTCCACAGCAAGGCACATTTGTCATTTGGAGGTGACAGGTTAGAGTCCTGGCACTGCCATAGCAGTTGTTTAGTGTGCCTTTGAAATTTTGTTTTACTTTTTTATATGAGTGCCGATCAACACAATGTTTAATATATATCACAAAATGTTCCAAAACATGTTACGACACATATCGGCAACATGTTCACCCACTGGGTCACCAGTAGACGACTTCGTCGCCGGTCGGGACAGTATTTGGGTTTGTATCCTTTGATCGCGTCAACACTGCAGGACTCCTTTTCAGGGCCGTTGGTGGCGTGCAGTGTTAAGCCATTTTGTGTGGCGCACATAACCTAGTCACAATTATAACCTAAAGCTCCCCCCTTTCGGGGATGCTGGTTAAATGTGACAATTGTTTCCCCAGCAAAGCACCTTCCTACCACTGGTATGACTAGATAATGCTGTGGCGCTTGCGCAGTTTCGACTTGTGCTTGAAGATGTAATTGTTCACGAGCGGATGATGTCAACATCGTACATTCCATGTGTAGGCTCTGAGGCCCCCTTTTAGTTGTCAGGAAAAGACCAATATGTCCATTATTGAGCATGTCGTGAAAGCTGACTCATTAGGAGTTTGCTGAAGCCTCATGTGTTGGACAGAAAGATGCAAAGATCGCAGTCTGTCTGTAAACATGTAAACAGCACAACGTGCCGACGCCATTTTAGTGGCGAATGCAGAAAAAAAAAAAAAAAAGAAAACGAAGAAAAATAAAAAAAAAGAAAGAAAGAAAAGAAAGAAAGAAAGAAAGAAAGAAAGAAAGAAAGAAAGAAAGAAAGAAAGAAAGAAAGAAAGAAAAAAGAAAAGAAGAAGAAGAAGAAGAAGAAGAAGAAAGAAGAAGAAGAAGAAGAAGAAGAAGAAGAAGAAGAAGAAGAAGAAGAAGAAGAAGAAGAAGAAGAAGAAGAAGAAGAAGAAGAAAGAAGAAGAAGAAGAAGAAGAAGAAGAAGAAGAAGAAGAAGAAGAAGAAGAAGAAGAAGAAGAAGAAGAAGTAGAAGAAGAAGAAGAAGAAGAAGAAGAAGAAGAAGAAGAAGAAGAAGAAGAAGAAGAAGAAGAAGAAGAAGAAGAGGAGGAGGAGGAGGAGGAGGAGGAGGAGGAGGAGAAAAAGAAGAAGAAGAAGAAGAAGAAAAATAAATCGAAAAAGAAGAAGAAGAGTAAAAGGAGGAATAAAAGGAAGAGGAGGGGGACGTGAAGCGGGAAGAGGAGGAGGATACGATAAATCATCACACACACACACACACACACACACACACACACACACACACACACACACACACTCACACAAATCACTTAATCTTCATTTAGGATACTTCAGCATTGTGGTGTTTAAAGTTTATACTCAAGCCTACTTCGCAGTTAACTTGTTCATTCAGTTGTCCAGATCTGCATTGTGCCGTAGACGTCGCAGTTCAACTAACAGCTGAGCGCTCGGTTGCTCGGCATGCTGCGATGTAAAGTTTCAGACTGTCGGTGACTCTATCGATCCATGTTCTTCTAGATCTCCTTCGGCCTATTGGTGCTTTCATTTTCAGGTTGTACGCTCTTTGTGCCCTGGTATCGTTAGATTTATCCTCACTAGGTAGCTGAACAACTTCAATCCTAATTTCTTAGTGAATTTACCAATCTTATTGTTCCAACAGTTTTTATTATCTTTTTGTTTCTGATACGAACTCTTGTGGTTTTGTTCTCATGTTTCTCAAACATTTCATTTCACAGTGGGTTAATGTTCTCTCACGTCCTTCTGTTAATGCGTAAGTCTGACAATGACAACGTAAAGTTGGAATTTAAAAAAAAAGACTTTATAATTTGTCTTTTTATCTATTTTGGAATATCGAGGTGTTGCAGAATCATGGTAAGTTCAAACACTCTGACTGACTGACTGACTTTCTACCCCACCAGGACATCACATAAGCGATAAACACCCGATGACACAATGGGCCACCATGTGGGTGAGGATCACCGTGGAGAGGTCCCAGAAACCGCGTTCAGCCTTTAGGCCATATTTATATCCAGGCTAAATTGCGGCCCCTGGCAAAAGCCAGAGTAGGGCTTCAAATAACAACAAATTTCATCCTGAAAAGGGCGAGAAGTAAGGTAACACTCTGTACATTACACACCTTTCAGTGGAACCTGGTTTGCGGACTAAGCTGGGTGAAACCAACAGTTGCCTCAATTCAAATGATAGGAGTCCTAGCTGGAGTCATTGTGTCAGGATTCCTGTCCGACTGCATCGGGAGAAAGAAAACCATGTATCTCTTTGTGCTAGAACACGCAGCTCTCAATTTGATTACTGCCTTTTCTGTGAACTGGGAGATGTTTATTGTATGCCGATTCTTTATCGGCCTGGGTATTGGTGAGTATTTTAGCTATTTTATCCACTACAGACCACTATACTGTTTGACATGTCACCTTATAAATCACTAGAGTATCAATCGGTGGAATGCCAAATCACAAAGATATCACATCATCATCATCAAGTGCCTTGCTAACATAGGTCTTCCTGCTTTTCCACAGATCTCGGTCTTTGGTATTCTAGGCTCAACTGATGATATTTCTCCATGCCACTGTCTTAAACCATCCACCATCATTTCTCTGCCTCTTCAACCAGTGATCTTTCTAGTTGTGACGAAATTTTTAAGTGTTCCTTTTCTCATTACATTACCAAGGAACTTTGTTTGTCTCCTTCTCATTGTTGTAAGTAATGTTCACAGATATAGAAAATCACTGGCATACAGGACTGCATAGAAACTAGTTCAGTTAAATACAAAATCATTGGAATATTAGATCACTAAGATATTGAAATACTGGAATACTAAATCACAAAGCTATAGCTTTTATCAAATAACAGGAACACCAGAGTACTAAATCACAAAAGTGACTGGGGATGAAATGAGGTTTGTTGAGGGAAAAAACACACACACACATCCACATACAACTAAAACCAAAGGAGGAGAAGAAACACCAGATCGCGGTGGGGCAGTACGGGTTGGATCAGATCAGCAAGTTCAAATAACTTGGAGTTGGAACAGACCGTAATGGAGACATTAAGACATAGCTGGCTACTAGAAAAGCCGCTGTTGGAAGAATTTTGTAGGCCATAAATCGATGTTTTCTCAGCAAAAGAAAAACTGACAAAAGGACGAAAATGGTTGTTTACCGCTCTACCTACGTGCCAGTCCTGACCTAGTGTGAGTCATAGGCAATGACAACAGCTCACAGAAGCCAGCTTCATGCTTCAGAAATGAGCTCTCTGAGAAAGTTGGTCCAAGTTACCATAAGGGAGAATGTTTGTAATCAGACAATACGTCCGGATCTCGGATCTCAGGCCTTACAAACTCGAATGGATCAGTCACAGTTACTGTGGTTTGGACATGTATTCAGAATGAAAGAGATTCGGGCCACCATAGCAGGCAAGGTAGGCCAAGAACCAGAAATTAGACTAACAGAGCAACTGACACAAGACGGGGATAGAACAGAGCCAAGAAAAAAAAAACTGCAGATAGAAAAGTCTGGCGATCTCGCTGGCAAACATCTACACGCCCATGATAGAAAAGGTTCGACTAAGGAAGTAAGTAAGTAAGTGTTTTATATTGGACTTTAAATATACCTTTTATCGACAGGAGTGATTCTCGTGTCCAGTTTTCCATACCCAATGGAGTTTCTACCAATCAAATGGAGACCCATAGTGTCTTCACTTCCGATTTGGCCATTGGGGATCATGGTCTTTGCCCTGGCAGGATGGCTGCTGGAAAACTGGTCACATTTGCATATCGCCTGTGGGATTCTGTCTATCCCTGGGCTTATCGGATATTTGTAAGTATACTTGTTGTCAGGGTGGCTTTCGTGTTATCTCATCCTCGTAGGTTTCTTCTTCCCTGACGATATTAACTTTTTCCCGTCCAAGACAGTGAGACGCATGGGGCAGTATTTTGTGCGGCTGTTACGAGGGCTGGTATATATATATAACCTTTTTAGAAGATTGAACTGGAGGAGGAGGAGAAGAAGAAATAGTAGGAGTAGCAACAGTAGTAGAAGCTTCTTTTCTTTGCTCAGTTACTTTATAGAAGTACTGAGGGGGAAATGTAAGGATCTTCTGCTTATTTTTTCAAATGCGATATATCAGCTAATCTTCATTTCTTTGAGGCTGTTCTGTATGTCGCTTTCTGTCTTCCACAGAGTCTTCCATTTGCTCTGTATACCTTATATTTCATTTCTTCGGTGTGGCTCGCTGTGATGGTTGTTATCAGGGCATTCTCGTCAGATGGACAAACCATTCCATCAGTTGCAGCCTGATTCAAAGTCCATCTGTGTTTACTTCTCAGTGCTGAATATCTGCCAGAACCTTTACTCAATCCCGTTGAATTAGTCTTTCAATGAATGGATTTTCTGTTGTTGTTTTTTCGATTGCACTGTCGTTGAAGTAAATGGATGAATAAACGAGAAGGCATTCAAGTCGTTGGGGTAAATTAATAAAAAGAAAAAAAAAGGAAAAGGCATTAAGGTCGTTGGAGTAAATGGATAAAAAAAAACCGGGAAGGCATTAAGGTCATTGAAGTAAATAGAGAAATAAACAGGACGGCTTTAACATCGTTGGAGTAAAAAGATAAATAAACGGAAAGGCATTAAGGTCGTTGGAGTAAATGAACAAATAAACAGTAAGGCATTAGGGCCGTTGGGGTAAATTGATAAATAAACAGAAGGTCAATAAGGTCATCAAAGTAAATGGATAAATAAATAGGAAGGCAATAAGATCGTCAAAGTAGATTGATAAATCAACAGAAAGGTATAAATTACTTTATTGTAGAAAACAACTTTAGATTTTAGTAATTAGAAGTTGTCCGTGTGAATTCCGGAGCCCCACTCAGGGCGGGAGGAAGGAGGGGAATAAACCCACTGCCTCCTAACAAACATGTCGAAAGAGGCAACAAATCAGGATTCTGCTAAAATCAAATGTTTTGGGCCTACGTGCACTGATATCTCAGCCTTTCTGTAAACCATAACCCAACTTACCAAGCGCCCTTATAAGCGCTGAGGCAGAAACAAAGAAGATATGTAAAAGTATAGAATTTGTTTCAGCGCATTGAAATTTTCCTATGTACATTGTCATTGCCCATATTGTTTTAACAGACCGCTAGGATACTTCGACCACCTTTGCTTTCCAAATATTTTTTGGTACCCTTTTTTAAACATTCGATCAATCTTGGGCCAGAGGTCAGTTTAAAAAATTATTCTCAATAAGGATTCGAACATGCTATTTGTGGCTTCGAATTTATATATTTACTTTTCTACAGTACTTAACCACCTATCTAAAGTACTTAAACCACCGATCTACAGTACTTACCAGCCTATCTACAGTACTTAACCACCGATCTACAGTACTTAACCACCGATCTACAGTACTTAACCACCTATCTACAGTACTTACCAGCCTATCTACAGTACTTAACCACCGATCTACAGTACTTACCAGCCTATCTACAGTACTTAACCACCGATCTACAGTACTTAACCACCGATCTACAGTACTTAACCACCTATCTACAGTACTTAACCACCTATCTAAAGTACTTAACCACCTATCTACAGTACTTAACCACCTATCTACAGTACTAAACCACCTATCTACAGTACTTAACCACCTATCTACAGTACTTAACCACCTATCTACAGTACTTAACCACCGATCTACAGTACTTAACCACCTATCTACAGTACTTAACCACCGATCTACAGTACTTAACCACCGATCTACAGTACTTAACCACCGATCTACAGTACTTAACCACCTATCTAAAGTACTTAACCACCTATCTAAAGTACTTAACCACCGATCTACAGTACTTACCAGCCTATCTACAGTACTTAACAACCTATCTACAGTACCTTACCACCTACCTACAGTAATTAATATTTTATATTAAAAACCACATCTCCACGCACTAAGTAATTTGTTTGCCCACATTCGAAGATTCACCACCATTCATCTGGACATGTTGAACATAACATGTCAATGCTTTCTTTGAGGCATTCAATAACGATGATTTATAGCATCAGGCTGATAAAACAAGACGCTTGTCATTTTCTTAAACGTGGCTTTTGCTTGTCACTTCTAGCTTTATATCTCTGTTGCGCATCTTTCATATGTTCTTATATACATAAAAGAAGGAGAGAAGAAGAAGAGAACGAACGAGAGAGAGAGAGAGAGAGAGAGAGAGAGAGAGAGAGAGAGAGAGAGAGAGAGAGAGAGAGAGAGAGTGTGTGTGTGTGTGTCTATGCGCGTGTGTTTGATATCACGATTTATGAGCTTTCATAAACAAAAGATGTGTTGTGCCAAAGAAAGAGATGCATTAGATAAAAGAATACATTAAACAGTGAAGTTTGTTACACAGAGATAATTGAAAACGTTAGACAAACGTTTTGTAAAAGGAAACTTCACACATGAGTTTTTCGATAGAAGAAGATCAGTTGGATAACGGGGCATGTGAAAAGGATTACTGATAGAATAAGAAAAGGTAATTTCTTTGCAGTGGAAAGCATGCGAATATGCTCTAGCTCTGTCAATATTTGTCGAGGTGAATAAATGTTTTCTTAGCAGAACATTTATAAATATGTAATTGCAGTTTCCCCCATGTGATGGTGAGTTAAAAAAAAAGACAAATAACAACAGAAAGAACTAATAATTTTTTTTTAATTGACGTTGCGACTAAAAACATGTCGTCATGACACTTCAATGAAAGGATAAAAAGTAATAGCAAAAATAATACTTATGTTGCTTGAGTAAACACTGAATAGACAGTTTAAACAACACAAATGGATGTACATGTAACCTAATATTCGACTGGAAAAGAACAATTTATAATTTCTTTTTAAAAATCTTTTTGCTATTACTGTTCACTACTTTATAACAAACACGTCATTGGGTTTGTTTTCCGCACGTAAAACTTGTTGATAGTCTTAACATACGCTGCATACTTATCGCCACTTATGCAGACACTCTAACGTGTGAGAGCTAGCAGTTACTAATAGTAACCAGCCGCGCACGCATGCTCTCGGCAGCAAAGCGAGGAGAAGAAAAATATCACGAGTCACCCTGTCTTTTCTTGCTAGCGCTTAATTTTGTACCAAACCTTTACACAAGCGAACTGATCAATCCTCGCCACTGTAATAGCGTGATTTTAGAAATTTATAGATTATGTGAATTTAAGGTAGAAAAGAAGTGTGAACCCACAATAATTCACATTCTCTTTACTTCCACCCTCCAGTTATGTGCCAGAGAGCTTACGGTGGCTGGCCGTTCATGATAATATGAAAGAAGCCCAGAACGTGGTGGCTAAAATTGCAGTAGCCAATCGCAAGTTTCAGTTTCGTAAGGCCTCCATCATGTTGCAGGTGAGAAATGAACTATCAAATATTCTACCTGAAAGAAATAACAATTAGGAAGATTTAATTAAAAACTAGATTTCTTTGTTTCGCTGTTTGTCGACCTATTTTTCTTCTGTCAATTTATCTAACTACTTAATATTGAACCATCTATCTAGCAACCCGCCTATCTAACGATGTACCTACTTACTACGTACCTACCTACTTACTTAACCATCTAAATACCAATGTACCTACATAATTACCTACTTCACTACATATATACCAATTTACCTACCCCATTTAACTGACGATCAATCTAGCAATCTAGCTTCCTGATTAATAATTACTTTAGCTTATCCACCAATTGCCTAATTGATTACCTACCTACCTACTTACTTAACCATCTATCTACCAATTTAATACCCGATTAACTGCTTATTAACCACATGTCTACCAATTATCCTTCCCGATTACCTACTTGCTTGACTATATATGTACCAATTCACCTACTTAACCACCTATCAACCAACTTATCTACCTAACCTACTCACTTATCTATTGACTTACATAAATACTTACTTAAAAAAATTCTTATCTACTACCTTACCTACCCGGTTATTTATCAAAGTTAAGCTTGGTGAAGCACGTCTTTGTCATCTTCGAGGTAAAGTCAGGAGATACAATAACCAACTCCTCATGGGTACAATCAGTAGAGGTACCTTTAAGTAGCTGCTGCATCGGAAGACCGAGCACGTATGGGTAAGCCCAGTGTGCAAAGACGTCGATTTTGATAACATAACTTCACTAATTATTTTAATGAAAACCAGAAAGCTTGAATATAAATAGTGTACTTATTTTAGGAAAAACAAGTATAGACCCACGGCCTATCTAAGCATGTCGTAAGAGTCTACTGAAGTCGGAGTGCATCTGCCTGAGAGGCAAAGAACCAAAAGTCTGCATACAAATTAGTCAGATCTGTCAAACATATGCACACGCAACACTCATGTTCTGAAACAGGACTGCAGTCCAGAGGTGGAGGAACGACTAGAACTTTCCGCCAGAGTTTATAGCCGGTGAACGCGAAGAAGAAGAAGAAGAAGAAGAAGAAGAAGAAGAAGAAGAAGAAGAAGAAGAAGAAGAAGAAGAAGAAGAAGAAGAAGAAGAAGAAGAAGAAGAAGAAGAAGAAGAAGGATAGTGTACAGTATTTTTGATCTTCTCATATTTAATTATTGTAGACAATGGCCTGGGAAGAACAGAAGGCTCAAGAAAATAGGAAGAAAAGCAAGCAGGTGAATGTTTTCAAGGATTGGCAGACGGTTGAAGTGACACTGATGGTCTCCTACCACTGGTAAGGTAGTTAAAAAAACCAATGTTTTATGTTTATTCAACGGATCAACAACATGGCACACGGACAGTAGCCCATAAGTGCTCCGTTCTTCTTCTAGCTCAAGCCTGAGTCTAAAGAATCTCAGCGCAATGCACAAACTCTGTTGTACCGGCGACGATAATGAAATACTTTGGGTAGATTTATGGCTCGAAATTTTGCTCGGGCAGCGCCGTTAGGCTACTCTTTTCGATTTCCAATTGCCAAGGCAATTTTTTACGTGCGCAACAATACATACGGGCGTTCGGTCTTACTACATAGAGACCAGGGGAGATTACTAGAAGTCCAAGTGAAAAAATCCTAGCCTTCACCAGGGGCTTGAACCTGGAACCTCTAGCACTCGGCTGTTACCTTCACAGAACTACCGTTAAAACAAACAAATCTTTACATAATCACAAATGTAAGAAAGAAACAACCATTTTCTTCTTCTTCTCGCTCACCAGTTGTAAATTCATGTGGACAGTTCTAGTTGTTCGTCCACTTCTGGATGTTGGTCTTATTCCAGAGCTTGAGTTCTGCATGCAAATCTATTTACGTGACTGAGGCAGATGCACTCTGATTTCAAATGAAACACTCATAGTGGCACTTCGCATGTTTATTACATGAGGGGGTGCCCACGTGGCGAAGTGGCTTTTCGAATGCCTTGGGTTTGTTATACGGCTACGCTGTTCAGTTCACAAGTGATGTTTTTACAGAGATCCTCGTGGAATGTCGCTGGAGCTACGGAGTTTCTGTTTTATGTGACTCTTTCTACAGACAGCTAGCCGTTCTGCAAGGAGAGACCAAGCCATATGGGATAAAATCCGATGCAATGAAGTTGATCGTCTTGACTTTAAGCTTTAACCTATTTTTTTTTTACAAGAGGGGCTCTGTGGGTCAGTTGGTATTTCTGCCCCCAAAATGGGACTCCGAAACCCACACGACAAAAGGGTCATCACTTTTTTTTTGTCACAATGAAACAAAAGACACTGTGATAACAGGAAAGATTCACAGAAAGAGAGATATAGGCATGCAAGAGAAAATTCCTGATAGCTAGCTGTTTATCATGGCATTGGCGGGAGAGCAACTGACTGATGTTATTAGAGCTCGCAAGAATGAGAAAAGCTCGATCGGCCACGCCATTCGGCAAGATAACTGAGGATAAGGATAAGGATGGTGATGATTGATCAGTATTACAATAGGATTCATTATACTGCAGCAGCGGTGGCACAGTTGCTAATAGCTTGCCTGCTGACCAGAAGGTCTTCAACACTGAAATTTGCTAACACCACAAAAAGCTCCAGGTAGCCCCCCCCCCCCCCCCTTCCCCCACAGTTGCTATATAAAGCTGACCTTGTTCTCAGAGTAAGTACCCGTGTACTAAATTTACCTTAAACTAAGAAAATCTGGTTTAACAAGAACGCAACGAAACTACGGCAGTATTACAGTTCTTACCCGTGGACGATTTGCAACCTCATATCTGACAATGGTGGCTAACAAAGACAGATATACTAAATGACCCGTTAAGCAGAACCAGTCTAGCGAAAGTATTCTACAGATACGCTTAGTTACCAACTTAAAGAGAAACTCCGGGGCACCACATCTTGATCTATTGACATCAAAGGCGTGTGGTTATGCAATGCCATGGCGATAACTGAACTCGGTCTGGTGGGCTGAAAAGTTGCACTTTTGTGACTTGTCGGTTACCGACAAGTCTTCTTTTGAAACGGGTCTTCATGGCGAAGTGGTCAAGCCGTTTGCCTCCCGCTCTGAAGTTCGCGGGTTCGTTTTGCTGCAGCGCCCTTGAGTTCACTATTGCAATTTTTACTGAGATCACTGAGTATCGCTACAGAGTTCGTGTTCTCTACGACGCTCTCGACAGGCATCTAGTTGTTCTGCGGAGAGAGACTAAGTCATATGGGATAAGAGAGACTAAGTCAAATGGGATAAGAGAGACTAAGTCATATGGGATAAGAGAGACTAAGTCATATGGGATAAGAGAGACTAAGTCATATGGGATAAGAGAGACTAAGTCATATGGGATAAGAGAGACTAAGTCATATGGGATAAGAGAGACTAAGTCAAATGGGATAAGAAAGACTAAGTTATATGGGATAAGAGAGACTTAGTCATATGGGATAAGAGAGACTAAGTCATATGGGACAAGAGAGACTAAGTCATATGGGATAAGAGAGACTAAGTCATATGGGATAAGAGAGACTAAGTCATATGGGATAAGAGAGACTAAGTCATATGGGATAAGAGAGACTAAGTCATATGGGACAAGAGAGACTAAGTCATATGGGATAAGAGAGACTAAGTCATATGGGGTAAGAGAGACTAAGTCATATGGGATAAGAGAGACTAAGTCAAATGGGATAAGAGAGACTTAGTCATATGGGATAAGAGAGACTAAGTCATATGGGATAAGAGAGACTAAGTCATATGGGATAAGAGAGACTAAGTCATATGGGATAAGAGAGACTAAGTCATATGGGATAAGAGAGACTAAGTCAAATGGGATAAGAAAGACTAAGTTATATGGGATAAGAGAGACTTAGTCATATGGGATAAGAGAGACTAAGTCATATGGGACAAGAGAGACTAAGTCATATGGGATAAGAGAGACTAAGTCATATGGGATAAGAGAGACTAAGTCATATGGGATAAGAGAGACTAAGTCATATGGGATAAGAGAGACTAAGTCATATGGGACAAGAGAGACTAAGTCATATGGGATAAGAGAGACTAAGTCATATGGGATAAGAGAGACTAAGTCATATGGGATAAGAGAGACTAAGTGATATGGGATAAGAGAGACTAAGTCATATGGAATAAGAGAGACTAAGTCATATGGGATTTTAAAAAAAACTGTACAATGAAGTCTCTACTCACACCTTTATCTTTACCTTCTTTTGAAAGTCACTGTTGTGGGGTGTTGTTTATCTTGTCTTCTGGCTTGTGTACTCTATTTTTGGGGCAGATGTTCTTTTACGCCCTGAAGCCAAGCTGTCCCCAGTTGCCCCCCTTAGTCTCTCTGATATTAAATCTAGGCTTCCATTTAACTTTATGTCTACATGAAGATAGTTCCGGCATCTTTGTCAAAACTAAATTGTTCACAAATTAGGACTATGTATGTTTGTAAGTTGTACCCTACCAGGACATCACACAAGAGATAAACACCCAGTGACACAATGTGCCGCAATGCGCATGAGGATAACGCCTCAGAGAGGTCCCAGAAAATCCTTTCAGCCGTTAGACCATATTTATGGCCCGGCTATATTCAGGGCCCCCAGCAAAAGCCAGGGTGGTGCTTCAAAAAACGAAAAATTGCATCACACATGGGGACGACAAGACCATACAAATAAAATTGAAAAAAAAATACACGGAGAGAAGGATTATAGACTTCCCTTGTTGAAAACTAAATTAGTTCCTAGGTGACTGTTAAAAAAATTACAAGCATACTTCTGTAAAACCACATGTGTGATGCCTCAAGAAATTGCAAGCAATTAAACACAATAAGATAACTGACCCTATATCTGTTTGGACTCGAAAAGATATACATTTCTGTTCAGTCTAATTCTGCGGCATCCTTCTCTGTAGTCCACGCTGTAGATCCTACAACAGTGCACTTCTGTAGTGCGACCTTTCCCTGGATGTTTAAAGAACACGCTTACTTCAAACTAAACGGCTTAAAAGATTCTTTTTTTTTTTTTGCACTGTGTACACAAATGTACAATGGAATATGTAATCATGTACAAAAATCTGTAGCGGAATATGTAATCATGTACAAAAATCTGTAGCGGAATATGTAATCATGTACAAAAGTCTAAACTGAAATATGTAATAATGTGCCAAAAAATACAGAACCTTCTTCACACCAGTGGCGTACTGGGTATATGATGCTAGATTCCTATTTTTGTATAGAACAACGGGTAGCAAGTCCAAGCCTGCGAAAGAACTGCAGCCTTCAGGGTGTTGACAGCATTGCCCATTGGCATAGAGTGGGCAGTAATATGCTTTGTATGAGTTGTTTCTTTGGTGCTGTTCGTGTCTTGTGCTGTAATAGAAAGCGAGAGAGAGAGAGAGAGAGAGAGAGAGAGAGAGAGAGAGAGAGAGAGAGAGAGAGAGAGGAGAGAGAGAGAGAGAGAGAGAGAGAGAGAGAGAGAGAGAGAGAGAGAGGGGGGAGGGGGGGGGGGAGGAGACAGCATGGTATCTGACCCAATATTTGACACAGCATTCTAGAGGGAAAAATGAAACACACAATTGTGTTTAAATCCAGGTTGCCGTTTGACTTAAAGCTTTTACATTTTTTTTTTTAAAAACTAGTGTAAACGATTATTTTTGTGTGACAGAAGTCTTTCTTTAATTTGGCTGAAATCATTCAGCTAATAAATATAACAATTTACAGTTCAGTGAATCAAGGGTCATCTCCGCACTCAAGGTTCTCCATCAGTGATTATAAAGCTTCCGTCTCTCGCTTTCTAACACAGTACACACACATACTCTCTGTAGCCACTTGTCTCGTTGTCACCCTCTTTCTGTCCTAGCCTTCGTCTTTCCCCTCCAGTGGTACTTTAAAATATGTAAATGAACCTATAAATATGCACAACTTAAGCTTCCTAAGGGGAATTCATTTTATGCGATCGCTACAGCCCTAACACCTCATTACCTAGTCTGATTACCGGACTAAACTTGTACTTACCCCAAGTGATTATTGTGCGTGTCTTCCGTATGATTGCAATTAATCTGGGTTAGGTTCCAGTAAATAAAACAATGTCATTCGTGTCAGCTGATTTTAATGGACACGGACGTTTCAGGTGGCCGGAAACCCTTGCAGTGTTCTAAATTACTGTGGGGGAAAAAATACAGGCATTGCTGGGCACTCATAAAAGTGAAAGGATGTGTATGTTTATAAATACTTAACGGATCAACATCATGGCACCCTGGTGTAACCCATAGGTGCTCTATTCTACTTCTAACTCAAGCCTGAGTCTGAAGTTTTTCGTCACAGTGCACGAACTCCGTTGTCCCGGCGAGTGAAAGAATGCAGTAGTCAAAGGGTACGATAGATAATATACAAACCACGGTAAAGATATAATTGGTGTGGATAGGGTGCCTAAGCTTTTTTATAATTCTCTAAATGGAGGGGGTGGGGGCTTTCAAGAAGTTCAAGCCTTGTTTGAATGTGCAGTAATAATAATATGTGTGTGCTAAACGGAAAGTCAAAATAAAAATACATTTGAAAAAATAGGAAATGCACAAACAAATACTATACAAGAGAATGCCTATGCGTGGTCAGGGGGAACTTAGTCCCTTGACAATTTTCGAAAGGGAAATGGGGCCCTTGGTCTGTTTAAATATTATGGGAGCCAGGTAGGGCGGAAGTGGGGGAGGCGGGTGTCTCAAGCTGCCTGAACTCCCAGGTTTCAGCACCCCTCATACAAACTAAACTCTACAACAAGACAGAAACTCCCACCTGGAGAGACCAAACGACGACAGTATGATGTTGCAGTGTTCTGGTTAATATTTGTTTCTGTGACCTGCAGTTTTTCAAATTATTTATTTACACACGCCATTTATGTTCTTACATTTTCATCATCATCATCATTATCATCATCATAATCATCATCGTCATCAAATTCATCATAATCCCTTTCTCCAGTGGAAGCAAGGGCCTCATTTTGTTACAACAATACATCCTGCCAAACACCATTTTATAGGCAAATGCAAGAGAGAAAAAAAGAAGAAATAGAAGAAGAAAAAAGAAAGAAAAGAAGAACGAGTAGTAGTAGTATTAGTAGTAGTAGTAGCAGCAGCAGCAGCAGCCGTAATAATATCAGAAGAAACAAAAGAAGAAGAAGAAGAAAAAGAAGAAGAAAAAGAAGAAAAAAAGAAGAAAAAGAAGAAGAAGAAGAAGAAGAAGAAGAAGTAGTAATAATAGTAGTAGTAGTAGTAGGAGCAGTAGTAGGAGTAGTCGTAGTAGTAGTAATAGTAGTAGTAGTAGTAGTAGTAGTAGTAGTAGTAGTAGTAGTAGTAGTAGTAGTAGTAGTAGTAGTAGTAGTAGTAGTAGTAGTAGAAATAGTAGAAGTAGTAGTAGTAGTAGTATTAGTAGAAGTAGTAGTAGTTGTAGTAGTAGTAGTAGAAGAAGAAGAAGAAGAAGAAGAAGAAGAAGAAGAAGAAGAAGAAGAAGAAGAAGAAGAAGAAGAAGAAGAAGAAGAAGAAGAAGAAGAAGAAGAAAAAGAAGAAGAAGAAGTCCAGGCATTAGAGTAGAGAAGAAGAAGAAGAAGAAGACTAGAAGAAGAAGAATGAAATACAAGAAGAAAAAAGAAGAAGAAGACCAGAAAACCTCAAACATAAGAAGAATACCAACAAGAAGAAGAAGAAGCCATCAGAAGAAGAAGAAGAAGAAGAAGTCAAGAAGAAGTCGAAGAAGAAGAAGAAGAAGAAAGAAGAAGAAGAAGAAGAAGAAGAAGAAGAAGAAGAAGAAGAATAAGAAGAAGAAGAAGAAGAAGAAGAAGAAGAAGAAGAAGAAGAAGAAGAAGAAGAAGAAGAAGAAGAGAGATCACAATAGCCACTATTATCATTACTATCACTGCCACGGTCAGTTCAACCAAACGACTGCCACATTTTCTCACAAACGATAAAATGACGGCTATAAACTCTGACATTGCCCTTAATTAAGACCGATATTCCACAATCTGTTTCAGGTTTTCCTTGTCTATCGTGTATTTCGGCCTGTTCTTCAGTGCGCCCAGCCTTGCCGGCAACATCAACTTGAACATATTTCTCCTAGCAGTGATGGAGTTGCCTTCTATACTCGTCACCTTCTTTTCCAACAACAGGTAAGTCACCTGCTGGGACATCCCAGGGGTCAATGAAATACCATGACATAAATTTACTAAGTACTGATAAGCACTCACAGAAGTAGTCGGGTAATCGCAGTTTCCATTTCCTAGCAAAGGTTTACTAAAACCTTGGACGGTCAGAGTAAATAACAACGATTGCTTGAAATAAAATAATCAAAGTAGATCTCTATTTACAACGATAAGAAAGAGACAAACACTGTTCTTTGGGCACATAATGAGAACAGAGACAACGGAGAACATTGTGACAATTAGAAAGATCAGTGAAAAAAAGGGTAGAGGCACATCAAGAGAGATGATGCTGGAAGGGCTAAAACGATGGCATCAAGAGAGCTGTTCCAGGCTACCAGGGATCGTGATCTGTTGAGACGCACGAGCGCCTACGCCAGTTGGCAGGGCACATGATACTGATGAGCAAAGGGTTTTCCCCATTGCTGCTCTATCCCTGTGCCAATGAAAACCACACAAAATGTCCATCATAGTTCATTGTTTAAAAGTTGACACATGCGTCAGTCCCAGCAAAGCCAGTAGCATACAAATGCATTAAATGCATAAGACATCTGTCAGAAGTGCCAACACAAACAGTCCGGCACTAGAAATGCAGTTTATCGTCACAGAGGTATAGCGAGGAAATAGAGATGGGAGGATACAACCAACTACAATATCCTCTACAAAATGTGGCTTTTTTGTCTTCCCCGGGCGTGAACCCGGACCACAAGGAGTTCGTTACCCTGTAGCCGCACAGTCAGGTTTAGCCAACTGTGCTAGCGAGCCGGTTAAGGAAGACCTTTCAAATTTCCGTTTGTGCTTGGATTAACTCGTAAATGCAAGTGCACAGCGTGCCAGTGAGTTAAGACAGCCCAAGACGTATACATGACAGTTCACACCTGTCTTATGTTACAGTTGCCGTAAGGTACTTAACCGATTTAAAGCTTTATAGGAGCATCAGGTCTTGCTGGATTCACATCCGAAATATAGCACCGTGGGTCACTGTGGTGTCAAGCTAATAACAGGAGGAAGACTCGGAACAAACAAAGAAAAAGTTGTCTACTTACTGAGAAAAAAAAAAAAAAAGACAGAACATTACATATCATAAACATAATAATTCCCCAGAAATAAAAATACTATTAAATAAAGAAACGAACACTCTCAACAGATTGCACAATTCATTACCTGACGTTTCTCCCTGCATTTCGTCAAATGCGTCGTTGTAAAGTCAGGGACATAGTTGTTTAGTCAAAGACATGGTTGTATAGTCAGGGACATTGTTGTATAGTCAGGGACATAGTTGTATAGTTAAAGACATGGTTGTATAGTCAGGGACATAGTTGTATAGTCAAAGACATGGTTGTATAGTCATGGACATAGTTGTATAGTCAAAGATATGGTTGTATAGTTAGGGACATTGTTGTATTGTCAGGGACATAGTTGTATAGTCAGGGACATAGTTGTATAGTTAGAGGGACATAGTTTTTTTTTTTCAGGGACATAGTTGTATAGTCAGGGACATAGTTGTATAGTTAGGGACATAGTTGTTTAGTCAGGGACATAGTTGTATAGTCAGGGACATTGTTGTATAGTCAAAGACATGGTTGTATAGTCAGAGACATAGTTGTAATAATCAGGGACATAGTTGTATAGTCAGGGACATAGTTGTAGTTAAAGACATGGTTGTATAGTCAGGGACATAGTTGTATAGTCATGGACATAGTTGTACAGTCAAAGACATGGTTGTATAGTCAGGGACATTGTTGTATTGTCAGGGACATAGTTGTATAGTCAGGGATATGGTTGTATAGTCAGGGACATGGTTGTATAGTCAAAAACATAGTTGTATAGTCAGGGACATAGTTGTATAGTTAGGGACATAGTTGTATAGTCAAGGGACATAGTTGTATAGTCAGGGACATAGTAGTTTAGTCATGCACATAGTTGTATAGTTAGGGACATAGTTGTATACTCAGGGACATAGTTGTATAGTTAGGGACATAGTTGTATAGTCAGGGACATAGTTGTATAGTCAGGGACATAGTAGTATATTCAAGGACATAGTTGTATAGTCAGGGACATAGTTGTATAGTCAGGGACATAGGTGTATAGTCAGGGACATAGTTGTATAGTCAGGGACATAGTTGTATAGTCAAGGACATAGTTGTATAGTCATGCACATAGTTGTATAGTTAGGGACATAGTTGTATAGTCAGGGACATAGTTGTATAGTCATGCACATAGTTGTTTAGTTAGGGACATAGTTGTATACTCAGGGACATAGTTGTATAGTCAAGGACATAGTTGTATAGTTAGGGACATAGTTGTATAGTCAGGGACATAGTTGTATAGTCATGCACATAGTTGTATAGTTAGGGACATAGTTGTATAGTCAAGGACATAGTTGTATAGTCATGCACATAGTTGTATAGTCAGGGACATAGTTGTATAGTTAAGGACATAGTTGTATAGTCATGCACATAGTTGTATAGTTAGGGATATAGTTGTATAGTCAAGGACATAGTTGTATAGTCAGGGACATAGTTGTATAGTCATGCACATAGTTGTTTAGTCAGGGACATAGTTGTATACTCAGGGACATAGTTGTATAGTCAGGGACATAGTTGTATAGTTAGGGACATAGTTGTATAGTCAGGGACATAGTTGTATAGTCAAGGACATAGTTGTATAGTCATGCACATAGTTGTATAGTTAGGGACATAGTTGTATAGTCAGGGACATAGTTGTATAGTCAGGGACATAGTTGTATAGTTAGGGACATAGTTGTATAGCCAGGGACATAGTTGTATAGTCAGGGACATAGTTGTATAGTTAGGGATATAGTTGTATAGCCAGGGACATAGTAGTATAGTCAAGGACATAGTTGTATAGTCAGGGACATAGTAGTTAACTCAGGTACATAGAAGTAAAGTCAAGTTAAAGTTGTATATCAACGGTCAGCTCTCGCCCCTAATGTTGAAACCAACGCAAGACAAATCGAACCTGGTACGAAGCCGTTTGCAACGCATAGGCCACAGACGCCGACAAAGTCAGGTACTTAGTAGTAAAGTCAGAGACATACGAGTAAAGTCAGGTATATACTTGTAAAGTCAGGTACTTAGTAGTAAAGTTAGGTACATACTAGTAAAGTCAGGTACATACTAGAGAAGTCAGGTACATACTAGTAAAGTCAGATACATACTAGTAAAGTCAGGTACATACTAGTAAAGTCAGGTACATAATAATGTAAAGTCAGGCAAGTAAATGACTTTTTCACACAAGTGGCTCATCCGGGCATATGATGCTAGACTCGAACTTCTATAGACCAATCAGTATTCGAGGTCGCTGATGTGGCCACCACCACACCAACTGCTTTTACTTCTATGGACTTTACCCAGTACTCATTTTAGGCTATGTCGACCTGGCAGCTAAGAAGGGAAAAGATGCTGACGCAGTGTTGATTTGAGCCGAAGTCATTCGGGCCCACAGGCGGGGGCGTCTAGCTACTACGACACCACGGCTCCACAAATTAAAAAAAAAACACATAGATGGGTGTCCTTTACAGTGCGTCGCAGAACCAATGCTTTTATGTTCTTACTGTTCGTTATTTTACTAGGCAATTTTATATTCAGTAGTTTGCAACTGCTCTCAAATGGTCGGCTCTCGAAGCCACTATCGCATCCAACTCTGCTGATTAATCGTCCGCAGCTGGGAACGAATCTTGCACCTTGGAGTTTATATATATATATATATATATATATATATATATATATATATATATATATATATATATATATATATATATATATATATATATTTACAAATATATTTACATACTCTTCCACTAGGTTTTACACAGTTTATATATATATATATATATATATATATATATATATATATATATATATATATATATATATATATATATATATATATATATATATATACTCTTTCACTAGGGCAGGTCGTAAGTGGCCGTCGGTTGTGGCTTTCTCTGTTGCTTGTCTGGCTGCAGTCGGCTGTGTTCTTACCGAATACTTGGGTAAGTTGTTTGTGTATATGTTGATGCCAATAGCATTCAATATTGTAAATAGCTAGATGTGTCTTTTATAACTCCTTCTTTCTTTCTTTCTTTTTTTCTTCCTTTTTTTTTTCTTTTTTCTTCTTTCTTTCTTTCTTTCTTTCTTTCTTTTCTTTCTTTTCTTTCTTTCTTTCTTTCTTTCTTTCTTTCTTTCTTTCTTTCTTTCTTTCTTTCTTTTTCTTCTTTCTTTCTTTCTTTCTTTCTTTCTTTTCTTTCTTTCTTTTCTTTCTTTCTTTCTTTCTTTCTTTCTTTCTTTCTTTCTTTCTTTCTTTCTTTCTTTCTTTCTTTCTTTCTTTCTTTCTTTTCTTTCTTTATCCTTTCTTCTTTCTTTCTTTCTTCTTTCTTTCTTTCTTTCTATCTTTCTTTTTTTCTCACGTTCTTTCTATTTGTAGGTTTTTCTGTTTCTGTCTTTCTGTCTTTTTTTCTTTGTATTTCTGTTATCTGTGTTTTTTCTGCACAGAATACTTTATAAATTTATTTTCTACAGAAACGTTTCCCATGCATGATAGCATATTTGATACATGGTGCCTGCCTTACATGTGTTTACACCAGTTAGTACTGAACTGATGGTCAGTTCTCACGCAGACCGCCTTTCTTCCAAACATGTCTTGCTATAGTCCGTTCAGAAATGTTATTACAATCGGTCCATTATGTTCTAAAATATTAGAATCTTTCATGTTCATGAATTTCTGAGCAGACTATAGCGTTAATGTCATAATGCGTTTCTGTAGTTCCTTTTTACACCCTCTAGTCACATCTTTCTTGGTCGGCCTCTTGCCGTGTAGCCTGCTGTTCTCAAGTAGTAGGCTCCAGCTGCAAGATGAATTAGTTTCATTCTGACCAATAGGCAATAGAAGGTTGATTTGGTCAACGTCACGCAAACCGCTTTATTCCTAAGAATGTTTCGGAAACCCATTTATATTGAGTCTACCTCACAGTACAGCTCAGAATGTGAGGTCGATTTTCAAAATCCACAAGACCCGTCATAGTCACTTAAAGACCGCCATAGACACTGAAAGACCTCAATAGACACTTAAAGACCGCCATGGACATTGAAAGACCTCCATGGACACTGAAAGACCTCCATGGACACTGAAAGACCTCCATAGACACTGAAAGACCTCCACAGTCACTAAAACACCTCCATGGACACTGAAAGACCTCAACAGACACTTAAAGACCTCCATGGACACTGAAAGACCTCAATAGACACTTAAAGACCTCCATAGACACTTAAAGACTTCCATAGTCACTAAAAGACCGCCATAGACACTGAAAGACCTCCATAGACACTTAAAGACCTCCATAGACACTGAAAGACCTCAACAGACACTTAAAGACCTCCATAGACACTGAAAGACCTCAACAGACACTTAAAGACCGCCATAGACACTGAAAGACCTCCATAGACACTGAAAGACCTCCATAGACACTGAAAGACCTCAACAGACACTTAAAGACCTCCATAGACACTGAAAGACCTCAACAGACACTTAAAGACCTCCATAGACACCGAAAGACCTCAACAGACACTTAAAGACCTCCATAGACACTGAAAGACCTCCATAGACACTGAAAGACCTCCATAGACACTGAAAGACCTCCATAGACACTGTAAGACCTCCATGGACACTGAAAGACCTCAGTGGACACTAAAAGACCTCCAAGGACACTGAAAGACTGTCATTGTCACTAAAGACCGCTATAGACTTGAAAGACCTCCATGGACACTGAAAGACTACCATAGACACTGAAATACTTCCCTCCATAGACCGCCTTAGACACTTGACTTAAGTTTGACTTGTTGCATTGCAGATCATGACTACTCCAAAGCTGCCATAGTAACCGGTCTTTGCCTTACAACTAAATTATGCATTGGGGCTGCCTGGGCCATCGGGGAGGCCTGGGCAAACGAGCTGTACCAGCCGCAGGCAAGGTACTGTATAAACATAGAGACCCTAATAGATCTGTCTGTCTGTTAGCATGTCTTATTTTTTTGTTTTAGGGTATTCCAAAAGTCAAGCTCGCTGTTTGACTTTTTTTTTTCCTTTCAAAAATGACCTTGACTCCCAGGTCGACCCAGCCTTAAATGGGTAACAGGTAAAAGTTCTGGGAAGTAAAAACGACGGGCATGATGCTGACCCTATCAGGTCATTATAAGTCTATAAAATAGAGATCTAGCCCTATATACAAAAAGCACCTGAGAGTCCTTTCTTTTTTGTTTTCAAAACTTTATAAGGCCCTCCAAAATGACTGAATATTTGCAAATACACAGCTCTTCATGACGCGATACGCAATTATTTAAAATTTTTACCACAGAGGCCGTCAGTGTTTACACAATCGTATTTTTTTTTTTTTTTATACGTATCCAGAAACCATGAGTTGTAAACCCTTTGGCTCGGTACTATGGATATCGCAACCCTTCGGCATTGATTCCATTATAGGTACCGTTAATCTGGGAGAAATGTGGCTTTTCTGCCTACCCCCGGGAGTGAACCCGGACCACAAGGAGTTCGTCACCCGGCCGCCGCGAAAGTCAGGTTTAACCAACTTCGTTAGAGAGCCGGGCGCACACACAATCGTATAATGAATGTTGTGTAATTATCGATATTCAGTCACCGTTGAGGAGCTTTTTAAGCATCCTATATATCAAAAGTCACGACAATGCAGTGCACAATTACCTGTCTGTTCGATAACCCAAAGTGTCAATTCATGTTGAGTCGTTTATGTAAAGTTGGAATTTCCATCGAGTTGTAATTGAAAGTTGTGAGTTCCCACTGAGTCAACGCTCAAAAGTGGGAATCCTGTCGCGCCCGTGGTAAGAAGTTGGAACTACCCTAGGGGCGAAGGTCAAATGTTGAAACCACTATCTAGTCCAACGATTCTCAACCTTTATAAGGCCACGACCCTTTATTACACCTCTCTTGTACTATGGCGACCCAATAACAATTTTTTTTCTTTTATAACTTCGATGAATAATGTTTTTTCCGATTTTCTGAGGCGACCCTGCGAAAGGGTCGTTCGACATAAAAAAAAAAAGGGGGGGGGGGGGGGGGGGGGTCTTGTCGATAGTTAAAAGTTTAAACGACCATCGCATGGCTAGTCAGAAGTTCGAATTCTTCTTGCATCGATGGTCAAAAATTGAAATTCGTATTACAATAGTGGTCAAAGTTTGGAGCTACAATCGATTTAGTAGTTAAAAGTTTGAATCAAATCGGCTTTGGTGGTCAACTGATGGAATTTCTATCGAGTCGGTGGTCAAAAGTTCGAATTCCCATAGCTTCAGTGGTCATGATTTTGAATTCCCATGGCGTCAGTGGTTAAAAGTTTTAATTTCCACGGAGTCAGGTTTTTAAAAGGGATCTGGGTTCTGAAACTGTCTAAACATCATATTCTAAAAATTGATATTATGAAATGTATCGGAAGAATAGCTAGCCAATGTTATTTTACCACATCAGCAATTGTGTCGTTTTGTGTACATAAACTTAGATCTAGCACCATATGCGAGAGACGTTTGCCTGTCGGGCTAAGGTTTGGGGTATGAATCTTCTTCTTCCTCATGTGTCAATATTTGTTTATGCCGCTAGGAGTCACAGCTCAGCAGAGGGGCGCGATTAGTCGCTTGATGTGCCGTGATGTTATGAAGCCTCAAGGTGTGATTGACTCCTTCAATCCATATTTTCTCGGTCTTCCCCTGCCTCTTGGTATTTCGATTTTCAGGTTGTACGCTCTCGCTGCTGGCATCGTTGGCTTCATTCTCATCAGAAGACCAAACCATTTTATTCTTTGTTTCTCAATTAATTTGACGATGGGTGTTGTTCCAACAGTTCTCATGATCACGTCGTTGCTCATTTGGTCTCTTCTGGTTTTATTCACAACCATTCTCAAACATCTCATCTCACAAGTGGTTAGTTATCTTTTGTGTTCTTTTGACAATGTCGAAGTCTGACATTGGTAACCTAGAATTGATATAAATATTGTATTTATATCTTCAGCAATGTGAATGTGAAAAAAAAAAAAATACATTTGAATCCAAGGTCAACCCAACCTAAAGTGGGACATGTCTAGGACAGTCAAGTTCGCTAGCGTGATAAGTGTTTCTATGTGTCTAGGAATGTCAAGTTGGCTAGCGTGATAAGTGTTTCTATGTGTCTAGGAATGTCAAGTTGGCTAGCGTGATAAGTGTTTCTATGTGTCTAGGAATGTCAAGTTGGCTAGCGTGATAAGTGTTTCTATGTGTCTAGGAATGTCAAGTTGGCTAGCGTGATAAGTGTTTCTATGTGTCTAGGAATGTCAAGTTGGCTAGCGTGATGAATGTTTCCATATGTCCAGGAAAGTCAAGTTCGCTAGCGTGATAAGTGTTTCCGTATGTCCAGGAAAGTCAAGTTGGCTAGCATGATAAGTGTTTCCATATGTCCAGGAAAGTCAAGTTGGCTAGCGTGATAAGTGTTTCCATATGTCCAGGAAAGTCAAGTTCGCTAGCGTGATAAGTGTTTCCATATGTCCAGGAAAGTCAAGTTGGCTAGCGTGATAAGTGTTTCCATATGTCCGGGAAAGTCAAGTTGGCTAGCGTGATAAGTGTTTCCATATGTCCAGGAAAGTCAAGTTGGCTAGCGTGATAAGTGTTTCCATATGTCCGGGAAAGTCAAGTTGGCTAGCGTGATAAGTGTTTCCATATGTCCAGGAAAGTCAAGTTGGCTAGCGTGATAAGTGTTTCCATATGTCCAGGAAAGTCAAGTTGGTTAGCGTGAAGAGTGTTTGCACATGTCCAGCTTTCTAGTTATTTGCTGTGTTCATTCGTTTCCACAGGGTTTATGGACTGGGAGCTGCCAACATAGCTGCACGAGTGGGAGCAGTGATCGCGCCATTTGTAATAGACTTGGTAAGTATTGTACAGGGTTCCAGATAATTTACTCGGCGGCTGTGGCTCAGGCATTGCGAGCACGCTTCGTAATGATTGGGTACCGGGTTCAATCCCAGCCGCGGAAGCTTTGTCTTGCGTTGGTTTCTGACGTATTAGCAAATAATTAAAAGTATAATTTGCCTAGAACAACCAAACAGCCAAAAATATGCTAGGGTTGGTTCTGCGACGTCCTGTAATGGATACGTAATCAACTTTCCTTCCCTCCACTTAACATTTCCTAGTAACTGCACAAGTCTTGCGGTTCTAAATCCTTATTCTGAACACCCCCTCCCCCTTATATAGCCCAATAAAGTTGTAAATATTGGCAGCAAAGACAGTCTTCCATCCAAAATAATTATGCCTATGATAACATTTATGACTTTTAGTTCGAAATCTTTTATGTTTACTTGTGTCATTTAGTTAGCCTACCCTATGGCTAAACCGTCTAGCTCTGTGTCCGCTAGTCCGCTGTCTATGCCAGGGACTAGCACCTCTGACGTACTATTTATGTGCCTCTAGACTTAAATATGAGAATAATATTGGTTTTCATATAGGCAAAAAAATGGGATTATAAAGGCCATACTTTTTTCATCGGTAAGTTGATTTGATTCTATGTATGGCTATACCAACATTGTGTTACCAATGCCAAACTTGGGCTCTAACAAAAGAACAAGAACAGAAACTTACAACGTGCGAAATTTGTTTGAGATGTTTGAGAAAAGCAGTCAACAAAACAAGAAATTACCATAAAAACTAGAAACACTTGGACAGGACAACAAACCAGGTACAGGCATTTCGCCCGCCAGCTACCGAGCTGAATGCGGGGTGCGATAATGTGAGCTATGGATATCACGGGGAATACTCATTATCTCTGTGTCCCGAAATGTGGCTGTAAATTGTATATTACGAAAACTTGAAGCAAGTTGTTGCCACGAAATGGCGATGTGCTTTATGCAGTAATGCGTGTGCACTTTCTAGTTTGTCGTAACTGCTGCTTCTATTATCTATGAATAGCAATTCTGTTAAGATACCGTAGATGCTGGTACCTCTAACGGTTGTCTTATGTGAGTTTATGTTAGTTTCAGCTTTATAGCAAACGGGTCACCCCATAGTAGCTCCGCTCGTGTGCCAACGAAAAACACACATAATGTTAATCACAGTCCCTTGTGGAGAGATTGACAGACTGCTGTCTCAGTATATGCACTGGCATACACACGCATTAAAAGCATACGGTAGCCATCAGAAGTGCTAACACAAACAGTCCGACATTAGAAATGCAGTTCATCATCGACGGTAGCAGAGGTAACCAACAAATCAGCAGTTGCACACGCGATCAATTTAAATCACATAAGGGCACCACCAATATTGTGACGACAGACCAAGCGCCATTTTTAAAATCTGCAATTCACACACCACGTGTGTCACAGTCAAAAAACATTCCAAATGAAATCCGCAGCCCACGAGGTCGCACCATGCACTCAACTCAGAAGCTGGGCGACAAAACAATACCCTTTGTCTACAGATGGAGCCAAAATGCAACGGCCACCGTCTGGCAGAAGCAAAAACGTTGCCAAGACTCAAAACAGTGGCTGTGCCTAGCGTTTATTTTGACCGGACTTGTAGTCTGTTAAAGTCTTGGGTTGTTGCATCCCCTAGGCCAGCAGGTCTTATGTCTTTGATGCGCGTGCGATCTGTTGGAGTTTGCCAGAACTTCTGTCTGGCGTTTCATAATGGGAAGTTATGGGTATTGTGTGCTTGTTTTCATTGGCGCGGTAACGGAGTGATAAGGAATAACTGGTTTGCAATGAACTGGAACCCCAGCAAATTAGTAGTAGTAGTAGATTTTTACTCCACCAGGACATCACACAAGCGATAAACACCCGATGACACAAAGTGGCACCATGTGGATGAGGATCACCCGTGGATAGATCCCAGAAACCGCGTTCAGCCATTAGACCATATTGCGGCCCCTGGAAAGAGCCAGGGTTGGGCTTCAAATAACGAAAAATTGCATCTTACAAGGAGATGATTGGATTAGGTAGAAAAAAAGAGTTGCCCCAGTAAATAGCATTTATCCCCTAATATACAAACACCCTGTAAGCTGTTTGAAAGAGCGATCTGTAGGCTGTACTATACAAATACAACTATTCAAGCTGTGTGAAAAATAGTTGGGCTTTCCTATTATGCGTACAAAATTTAGTAGGCTATGTGAAACAACCATCTGCATCCATTAATATACAAACACCACCGTGCTATCTCTACGAAAGTAATTTGTGCCAAAAATTATCTTTCTCTATTTTATATTCCCTGGATATTAATCATATTATTTTCTGTCTCCCAGGAGAACCGAGCCAGGGCATCGTTCGTTGTGATGAGTTGTCTGCTAGCCGTCGATATTGTCCTGTGTGTTCTGACACGGGAAACTAAACAAGTCAACACTGCTGCATCTTCTGTCAGTATTGTCGTTGCTAGAAAGCAGCAGGATCAGCAGACACACAGTGTCGACATGAACAATGAGCATGGTCTTGGAAATGAGAGCTCCACCGATGATCCTAACGCCAGCAAGAAGCATTCTGCATTAGAAGCTAGAGACTCAGTCCTTGATACAATAGACGAAGAGACTACGAGCAATGAGTCCGACCAGACAGCTGCAGAAACCTCAAGTCACGACAATGCTGTTGTTGAAACTGGCGATGTTGCTCTAACAATAGAAATGACAGATGATTCAGTAGCAACTACTGCTTTAGAAAAAACCAAGACAGATGTTAGTAAAGATAAATTTCCTAAGAAAGATAAGAAAAGGGACGCCAAGAATAAAAAAGCTGCTAAAAAAGCTGCTACAGAAACAGACAGTCCGGTACCAAAGCCAAGAAAAAATAAGTTGGAGAAAGTTAAAAATGCGGAATTCCTTACTGCGAAGTCAAAATCAAAAGTGAAAGATGACTCCCCGCCATACATTGAGTCTAAATATCACAAAAATATCAGGTATTCAATATACTAAATCAACAGCTACAGATAAGTTCTCGGAGTACATTGACTCAAAATGCAACAAAAACATCGGATATTGTGCTTACGAAAGATACCACCACGCCTTACATTGATACAGCAACAGAAGAACATTCAATATTGTTTATACGTGTGATTTCGTTGTATGTAGCTGAAACATATAATTTGCCAATTGTATTTCACTTCAGCTCTCATTTTAATCTTAATCTTCCATAGAACCTCTATATTTATTTGTCCTTCTAAGAGATACGATATCGTCTACATATCCAGATTGTCAGATCATTAGTTCGATTTTGTAATCTTTTGGTCTCCATGCATCTATCTATCAATTATTGTCATACGTCGTTGATATCTTTAAATATGTTATTTATTTCGCTGGTCTCATTTTACTTTCTGATAGTTTGTCTTATCTAGTTTTCTAAACAACTGTTGATCAGTTTTCTAATGTTAACTGAAGACTAAGAAGTTTTGCTGTAATACATTTAAAAAAAAAAGTGTTTCTGTTGTGCCGAAAGAGTTGGCGTGTGAGTCTTAGGCATTGTGAATGACATTCATAATTCGAAAGCACCTCGTTGGATTTAATCTGCGAGCGATTTGACAGATCTCACTGCGTTACTGTCGACAGTGATAGCAAGAGTCGATCGTGCAGGGAGCAGTAGCAAACAGTTTAACGCAAGCTTGCCCTTGTAAGATCACAAACCGCCAAACAAGGGTGAGATTAATTCTGCATTTTTTTGTAAAGGGTACACAACAAACTTATAAGCAGGACTGATGATTTTGTAATACAGAAAAGTATGTGTACAATACTAACAGATTTAGTCTGTAATGCGATGTACACTGATGTGTACATACTGAAAACGTGTTTATGTAATGATTTGACAAATGGATCTGTAATCGGTTTTAGAATGTGAATATAATATTTTGACAAACGGATCTGTAATTTGTTTTTAGAAAGTTAGTATTTTATGTTGATACATGAATCTGTTGTACATTTTACAATGCACCTTTGGCTCAAGGAAATGTTCAGCTATTGTATTTTAATTATTGCGATTGTAACATATGGACAATGTATGGATATTAGAAGTAAAACTGCCCTATATGCCTGATGGGATAAAGTCTCGTGATTGTAATTCGCGTGAAAGTTGCATTTGATCTCATCAGATAAACGGATAAGACCCGTGTCCTGGTAAACTATAGGTTTCTGAGTCGGCCCTATGTGGTACGCAATTTTTAGTTATTTGAAGCCCCACCCTGGCTTGTGCCGGGGGCCCTGAATATAGCCGGGCCATAAATATGGCCTAACGGCTGAAAGGGGTTTCTGGGACCTCTCCACGGGTGATCCTCATCCGCATGGTGGCACGTTGTGTCACCTAGTGTTTATCGCTAGAGTGCTTTCCTGGTGACGTACAACAAGAGAGAGAGAGAGAGAGAGAGAGAGAGAGAGAGAGAGGAGAGAGAGAGAGAGAGAGAGAGAGAGAGAGTCCTGGTAAACACAGCAAAGCGACAACAACAAAGGAATTAAATTAAATGAGTAGTGAAACTTCTCCGTAAGTGGAAAGTGAGTGGGAGCGTGTAAGTGAAATGACCACCTCATTTCGTAAAACCAAATCCTGCTGATTTATTATTGCTGTTTTTGAACCAAGTCCATGTATAAATGTTCAGAAGTGTAAGACTTGAAAACTGGAGACTGGTTTTGGCTTGTTTCCATTTCTGCAGTCAAGCAGCAAACACTTTCAAGCAATATTCAATACATCCTCGTTAGGACGTAATTTTTTGTTATTTGAAGCTCCGCTCTGGCTTTTGCCAGGGGCCGAAATATAGGCAGGCCATAAATATGGCCAATTGTCTGAACGCGGTTTCTGGGACCTCTCCACGGTGATCCTCATCCACATGGTGGCACTTTGTGTCACCGGGTGTTTATCGCTTGTGTGGTGTCCTGGTGGGGTAGAAAGTCAGTCAGTCAGTCAAACACTTTCAAGCACATTTCTGGGATTTTTCAAGCGTTGCATGCAAGCGTGGAAGACCAAGGGAAACCCTACGTAGAACTATCATCAGGGAAGGCTCGCTCATGGGCCACTCAAACATCCAAGACCTACAACAGATTGCAACGAACCTCCATGCACGGAGAGTCATGACCTCTGCCCTATGTGCCGCACTCGACACAAGAGGAAAGACTAACTAACTAAGCATGCAAGCAATAAAAGTACAGGTTTACACACCTTCAGGCGTATTAGGCATATAAGGCTAGACATATATTTTATATACCAATCGGTACTTTGATCACTGATGTGGGCAGCACTACGCCAGCCGCCGTTACTAACCAGTACTTATGTGATTACCCAGTCAAGACTAGTCCGACTGCCTCATTACCCGAACCCACTACTATTCTATCCGATGGTAAGGGTCTAACCACTACAGCATGGCGGCTTCCGTGTGCAAAAAGACGGTGCTTTATTAATATCCTACCCCAAACAGGGGAAATCAGCAGGTCACGGGACAGTCTACAGTTTCAGGGGTTGTTAGATAGGCTACATGCAGTCGTGGGACCTAGGCTGCACTCTCTCGTGGGATGTAGGTGGGTTGGGGTTAGGGCCAGTTCTAGATGTTTTGGGGTCGTTAAATGCATCAAACAGTCGGGAAATCCAGTCTTACCACCATCTGTTTGACTGTCATGTAACGTCATCTGGGGTAGGATATTAATAAAGAACTAAGAAGACTGCGCATTATTTACCCACATATGAGTAATTTGATGATTCGCTACTAATCGTGTTTTTATAGGAAAGTTTCAGGGAAGTTTCAACCTACTTCATTCCCTCTGTAATAACATACCACACAAGAGACGAAAGGGAACTGCCGCGATGTAGCGGCTAGTCGCTCGCCTGTTGATCCAAAGGTCGTTGGTTCGGGTCCTGATTGAGCCGCATTTTTTCTCTCCAAAAATGACCCTGGCTCCCAGGTCAAGGTTGTCGAAATTTTCTTTTTCAGATATACCAATTGTTGCATGACTGACACTTATTAGACAGTAATATTACGTATCTCTTTTTTCTTCATGTCGCTGTTGGCACAAGGAATCCACAAGTGATCTCCATTGGTGTCAGTTTGTTGCTTTTCTACTCGTGTTATTCCACGTCAGTTTGAATATGACATGAGGGTGCAACCTGGAGCTGCAAGAAATGAAAATGTCCATAAGAGGACAAGACGTTGCATAAAACAACACAGAACAGGCGTCATCAGTCGTTTTACACTTGTGGAGCTTTTGAGGTGGAGATCGGAGCATCTATGGATCTGACTGGAGTGCTGTGATGACAATCCTTTCTAATCACTAATTACTATTCCTTCATGGCCTTTTCTGCTGTCTTTCTCCGGGTTTCTTTAGGTCGTCCACGTCTCGCCTTTCTTCCGTCTGCCATCCAACGTGCCGACGTGTCAGGAGGCATTCAGCAAGCAGGTCCCAAACTGTCTCTATCGTCTTCTTTTTATTAGGAGTGCCAGTGTTCAACATTGTGTCTGCTTCTTCGGTTGTTCACTTGTAAATCTTGTTGACCTAAAAGCAAGCAGTGGCAAACCACTGGACATAAAATTGCCTGCAACTACCTTTGTAGACATGGTCTGTTTGATCTGTTGTTTTGTGGTGAGTGATTTTTGTCTTCAGTTTCTGATATAAATCACTCATGACAACTAATAGTTTATATGTGAAGATATTACTTACATGTTGGTATCCTTACCCTGTTGTACATACTGTTGAGTATGCCACATATACAATAATTAATATGGGGTGTTTCTTATTTTCATAATGTGACCATTATCATCCCTGTCGCTATGGCGTAGCTGGTAGACGCTCACTTCTGGCCTAAAGGTTGTGAGTTGAAACCGTTTTGAGTCGAACTTTTTGGGGGGTTTAAAAATGACCTTGGCTGGCAGATCGACCCCGCCTCAAATGTGTACCAGGTAAAGTGCCTGGGAAGTAAAGGTGTCCGGGATGATGTTGACCACATCATCCACCAAGTGTGGTGATTGGTTTATAAAATATGGGTCTAGCACTATATGCCGAATAGGCCAACTTGCTTTTCAACGGATCCTGTACTCTCACCATCGTCATCATGTGCCATACCGATAAAGCGTAGGTGGTTTTTGTTTGTCAACTCACATGATTTCCGCAGTCTGGGACCAGGTCTGTAATCCTGGTCATGCCGTACACCATTCATATGTCTTCCACTTGCTCTGTTCCCACCATGTTTGCC